TTGTCTGAAATAAGAAAAAGAACCATTGTTTGTTTGATGCTTTCTTACTTATTTTAAAACAATACACATACAATAAGATACTTACCATCTGGAAATTCACTGGCACCAATCATTTTCACACATTTTTTGGAAAAAGCTCAACACAACAACAAGTTGTGATAGAGGGTTACAACATTGCTCTTTTACGGTTTAAGCTATTTCCTTTGGGTTTTAGATCTTACATGAATTTGAATAAATGAAGTGTCAGTGTCATAAAGAATCAGTCATGTTTGGACTCTTTGCTCAATCAAAGAAAGGGTTCATGCTTTTTAAAGGTATCAATACAGTCCCCTTTACTGAATAAAAGAAAGGGTTCATGCTATTCAAAGGTATCGATACAGTCTCTTTGTTCAATTAAAGAAAGGGTCCATACTATTCAACGGTATCAATTCAATCTCTTTGCTCAATCAAAGAAAGGGTCCATGCTATTCAAAGAATTCTATATAAACAAAGATGGTTGTGTATTCAATGTCACGTTCCAAAAAAAGATTCTTGCATTTGTATCTAAAAACTTCTATTTTTTTCATTTCTTCAACATCTTTCTTTTGTGCAATCCGTTCCATGTTTCTGAAGAATCAGTCATGTTTGGACTCTTTGCTCAATCAAAGAAAGGGTTCATGCTTTTTAAAGGTATCAATACAGTCCCTTTACTCAATCAAAGAAAAGGTTCATGCTATTCAAAGGTATCGATACAGTCTCTTTGCTCAATTAAAGAAAGGGTCCATACTATTCAACGGTGTCAATTCAGTCTCTTTGCTCAATCAAAGAAAGGGTCCATGCTATTCAAAGAATTCTATATAAACAAAGATGGTTGTGTATTCAATGTCACGTTCCAAAAAAAGATTCTTGCATTTGTATCTAAAAACTTCTATTTTTTTCATTTCTTCAACATCTTTCTTTTGTGCAATCCGTTCCATGTTTCTGAAGAATCAGTCATGTTTGGACTCTTTGCTCAATCAAAGAAAGGGTCCATACTATTCAAAGGCATCAATTCAGTCTCTTTGCACAATCAAAGAAAGGATCCATGCTATTCAAAGAATTCTATATAAACAAAAATGGTTGTGTATTCAATGTCACGTTCCAAAAAAAGATTCTTGCATTTGTATCTAAAAACTTCTAGTTTTTTCATTTCTTCAACATCTTTCTTTTATGCAATCCGTTCCATGTTTCTGAACGAAATCTGGTAGGGTCCAGGAATATGTGCTTCACATAATGGGTCTATGAAAATGTACTTTATACGTTGAGCTTATGAAAATGTTCTTCTTACCTTAGGTCTCTTAAAACGTACTTCATATGCTGGGTTTATAAAAACGTTTTTCTTACGTTTGTTCTAAATCCTTATGGGCCTTTTCGGTTACGTCAGTGAATATTTTATGTCCCTTGCGTTTGTATAAAAACGCCTAGTTTTTTCCATTTCAAAGTAGACTTCATTCGAAGAACAACTTTTTAGTATATGCCGCGTTGCACATTGCAAGATAAAAATGGCCAAAAGTGTTTCAGAAAATCCAAAGCCTGAGCAACTCTGCAAATAAAGTTATTTGAAAGGTACTTTGGACACAATTCGCGAATTTGTTAATGTGAAAACTAACTATTTGAATGTGTTTGGTTTTTCAAAACCATGCTGTTTTATCTGTTTGGGTGAGGAATCTCCTTTACAACGGACCAACTAATGTGAGCAGCTTATTCAGTACGAAAGCTGCTCAAACGAATGGTTTTGAAGAGAACTGAACAAAAAAAGAGAAGTCTGTTGTTCTTACTGTAAACAACTGGTCCCAACAGACACCTTATAATCTCTAAATTTACAACTCAGACCAAGTGGTGAGCGAAGATGGCACTCAGCAGAAAGATGGGTTTGAGATACCTCACGAGAAAACTACAGGCTACTGGAATACCCAGCGTTTTGTACCGTTATGGTACGCCACCTTTCTGAAGGCGCAAATATTTTTAGAGATCCCCAAGGTCGTTTTTTCATCACTAAATTTGACATATCAGAAGCCTGGCAAATTGAAATGTGTCTTAGATTTACGAAAAAAAAATGGCAGTTCAAAAGTTACATTTTTAATAAAATAACTTGGCAGCAAATTAAATTCAGTTTTTGTTGGTCACGACAAAAAATTGGGTATTTCTTTTCTTTTCTTGGGCACGTTCCAATTTTAAATAAGGTACTTTTTTAATCAAATAAATATTTTGTTGTGGATCATATAATTGGTGATTTGAATATTTGAGTGAGTATGGGTGCGTTTAAGTATGTGTATGTAAACCCCTCGCAACCATTTTTTCCAAGTGAGAAAATAGAAAATGAACTTGCCCACACATGCCCTCACTTGCTCAACCTTGCCCAGCTGGTACAAAAGAAACCCCCTATTCCCCAAGTATTCACCTTTGATTTCCACAAAACCATCACATCCTAAATGCACGAGTCATTTCAAGAGAAAGAATGCGTGAGCTATGATGGCGAAAAGAAAATATCAAGAAGAGATGAGTGATGAAAGGTCACTGAAGGCTGTAGAAGACAAAAAAGTCGAAAATGGCAGACGAGACGAGCAACGAGGAATTGTTGAAAGCTGTGAAACGTATCAAGTCACCACTCTTCGAATTTGAGTTTCAGACCGTGGGGCCACTTAAATGTTGGAAGAAAAATGTGGTGGCAAGACAACCGTTTGCAGCACACTTGAAAGAATTCTGCCAACCTTCACAAGATGATTATAACGGTGCTGAAATCACTCGGCTCATAATGTTCCAACTGCCCAAGCTGTTATGTCAGTCCCTCAGCCTGCTCCTACCCAGGAGACACTAGAGGTGAACATTCATTTACATTTTTCTTGCCGGTTTAGTTTTTGTGTTACTTACTTTTCCAGCATCATTTCCTTGCCCTCGTCCCGCCGTCTTCCTACTTCCACTTTCGTGTCGTTTGTAGTTCTCCTCGCTCGTGTTATCCTCCATTAGTGTTCAACTTTACCTCACGTTTTGTTACATTCTCCTATTCTCGCCCTATATATCCACATGCTGTTAGTTGCCCAATTCTTAATACTGGGGCTGTCACAATACTGAATTTATTTAGCATGCTGATCTTGCTATCGGGGCTTTGCAGCTGCGTTTATTATTTGTCACGACGTTGAATTTATTAAGTATGCTGCTCTTGCCATGGGGAATTTGCGGATGCGTTTGTTATCTGTCACGACATTGAATTCATTTAGCATGCTGCTCTTGCCATCGTGGTTTTGCAGATGCGTTTATTTTTGTCACGACGTTGAATTCATTTCACATGCTACTCTTTGCCATCGGGGCCTTGTAGATACGTTTGTTATTTGCCACGACATTGAATTCATTTAGTATGATACGTTTTGTTTTGGGCTTGAATTGGCCTGGAACGCTGCTTTTGTCTTGGAACTTTACAATTAAAGTTTTTGCCTTTACAGTGCTGAATTGCAGATGCTAAAACAGGCATATTAACTACCAATGAACTGTATTGGAAATTACATTATTTATACAGTATGGCTTGCCTCAGCAAATACTTCAAAAACTCTACAAGAAAGAACCAGACAACATATATTGCAGTCCTGCAAAGACGGGTTTACAAAAGAAAATCCCTATGGCGTCGCCTTCTGTTAAAGCATTTACCTGGGCCGTGTTTCCAATATCAATCTACGCTCCTCGTTCATTATTGTTAGCTTGCCACATGATTGCTATTACACATTTGAGATTTTCACGTGCATCTTACTTCCTTTCGGAACTATCCTGTCTACCGCTTCCTGTTGTAGCTGAAAGTACAGGTTAAAGCTTTGGAAGACTCTGGTGCGTCTTCTGTCGAGACCTTTCTACTAAAGTCTCTTCTTATGGCTTGCGTCACGATTTAGACTTCGATAAGTACGAAGCACTTCGTCTAGCAGAGCAGCTAGTTTCCATTGCCCGTGCCTACAACCATGAGAAAGCCTCTTTTTATGACCTTGCAGTTACCTTGTTGCAACAGCGCCTGTCCGTCCCCAACAGCCACTTTAAGGCCTACTTCCTGTCCTTCTCGCAGGAAAGGAGTATGCTTAGGTTTTGGAATCGATATCCAAAGTGAACAAGTCCCTTTCCCGTGGCGATAGCGGAGCGCCTAGACGAAGATACAATCCATATGCAAGGCCTTCTCCTGCTCCTCGTTCGCCTTCCGATGCAGTTTGCTTTTACTGTGGAATTCCGGGCCACCGCATGACACAATGTTACAGAAAATAGCGAGACTCCGATTGCGCAAAGTTCTGTGCACAATAAGGGTCGAAGTCTTCCCCTGATCCCACGAGCAAGCTTCGTTAAATTTTGCCTTTGGGGCTGTTAATTATGCTTTCATTGAAGTACTATTCACAACACTTGAAGCACAAAGACTGAATCTCAGAGGTATTTCTACTCAAACTGTGTTAACGAACCCCATTGAGTCTGCAATCCTTAGGGATGTTGAATAGGGATAAAAGATGACTCTCACTAGCATTCTGCCCTTCAAACGTGATCAAGCACCCGGAAAAGAAGATGGCAACGGCCCACCCACCCAACCTTAATCACTTGAAATTCGGGGTCGAACATCACTATTAGAAGGTTTCCACCTTCTTCTTGGCACTCGATCAACGCTCCCATACCTCTATTCAACAATAAGTGCAGCTGAGAGTGTTATAGAATAGAATACTGTTACAGTCTAATTTAGAATTATTGTGTGTCCTGCACCCGCTTCTTTCCTCCTATCTCTTTACTTTAACCCTGTTGATGAGAGTCTGAAGGAAGTCTAATTTTACTCGGATTACCGGGGCCAAGGCTGTCATCTTCCGGGCTTCACCTGTTAATTCTCCCTCCGTCTTTATTCTTTTTCAGTTCCGCAATTCTCTTTTCAATGATCTTTTCAATGATCTTTTCATCCCACTATCGTTTTCCCTAATTCGGTAGCGTGGGTTACCAGTTCAGGATGTCCTCTCTCTACCCAAGCCCGGGAGATGTCAGCCAATGGCCATATCTCGGAGTCTTTCGTCTCGACTGTTCTCGAAGGCAGCACTCTCACAGATGTTTCTATGTTGGCCTTCCCTGATCCAAAACATTTCGTTGCCAGGGAGCTTCATTGTCATCTTGAATTGTGGTCTTACGTTGCTTCTTTGACCCCTTGCGACTTGGCGCCCCAATTACTTAATTGGATTATGAATTCAGTAGACGTCCATGAGTTTTTCCAACACTTTAAGGGCTGTTACAAAGGCGAAGCTTACGACTCCACCCTCCCACCCCGCAGAGTCTTTCTGAACCACCCTTCTAGCAAGCCGTTTGTCAAGTTCATCTCTGCTAAACTCTTGGATAGATTGTCTACAGGTGCCATCTCTCTATGGGGAAAAGTTGGGGGGGGGGGTTCAACCGCCACACCTAGCTATGCCAGTTTATGCAATGACTGTTATCTCAACCTGTGGATCGCAGATCGCCTTTTTCAGTTGGATAGTCTTCGTGATGTTGTTAGATACACTCCACTAGACTCTTTTCAGACCATTTGCGATGGTAAGTCCGGTTATGACCATATTTTTTACTCAGTCTGGTAGAACATATTTCGCTCTCTGTGGGGGGGGGGGCTGGTTTTTTACTAGTAATTCTCTTCCTTTCAGGTGGAAATCATCCGCATACATTTATCACACTACTGGTCTCCTGGCATCCCATTATTTTCGTTCCCTTGGCATTCACTGCTCCCTGTATATCGACGACCGACAAATGGGCCAGATTCATTTTGCTTCCCAGGTTGTTCCCACACCCTGTAAAAATTTCAGCTCTCAGCGTGACTCAAATTTCACCATCGCTAATGTGGCCATTGTTGTTTCCTACACTTTGGTTTCATTAGGTTATTTCCTTGGTCTGCAAAAGTCCATTCTTGTCCATGCAGGTCCATTTTCTTGGTTTTACGTCGCACTCCCATTTGCAGGCTTTCACCCTTCTGCAGTCTAAATAGGAGAAATTTCTTACCCTTCTAAAGTCTATTTTGTCATCCTCCCAAGTGGAGCTTCTGACCCTCCTAAAACTGTTCAAAGAACTTCAGGAAGCTGTGCAGCAGAATGACGCCAACTCCCACAAAATCAATGTTGAAGGGGTCGATACACTCAAAGGAGAAAATCATCATTAAAAAAAAGAGTAAAAGAAAGATAACACAAGACAACATTCTTGAGGCCCAGTGCAAAGCTTTAATTTTAAATCAGGAAAATCTTAAGCTAAAAAAAAGGAAACTGGAATTTGAAGTGTTCCTTCTGGAACAAAGATCATGTTTAATCCCTATTGTTTTAATAAATATAAGTTAATGAATGAAAAAAATCGAGAATTTAAGCATAATTAAAGTTTTAAGTTATATTATGGACATATGAAGAAAGTTGGAAGTACATAAGATTTATCTAAATAAAGAATGCCCATGTTTTGTATAATTAAAGAAAAAGTGTTTTATAAGCAAGTAAAGAAATTTATTTACTTCTTTATCATGTATATGTATAACATCTTATCAGGACAAGCAGCCAAATTGTAATACAAAATAAAAGTATATTTGTTCAACAATTGATTTGAGTACAACCCATGTATCGTCCTTACGACTTTTGCCATGATAATATTAGGGCATCAATGTCATTAAATTTACAGGCAACAGGCAAAATTTTTTTGGAATAAAAGAGACTGCACCCTTTGTTTTACTGTTGCAGTATTACGTATTAACAATATATAGTCATGTATACATACCAATAGCAGTGATAATTCACGAAAGGTGACTGTGCAAAAAACATTTTGGGGCTACTGACAATAAATTTCAGGTTACTTAGTATATAAAATCCTTTCTGTCTTGCTGGTATGTCAACTGATAATGTCGGCATCTGAGTGTCCGAAAAATGAACATTTGGCTGTGAATTAGTAAAGCTTCAGGGGGAAATGTGTCAGTCAAGAACATTAACAGCCCAAAATTAGTGACCCTGACTTTCTACACATTGACAAAGCTTTACAATATAGACCTTTTCCTCTGAGCCATTTGCCTGCAAAACTGAACTATTTACCTTAAACACCATATTTAGTTTAGGTAATAACATGATTTTGAATGCAAAATGGTGTTAATAAGCATGAATAAAGACAGAAAAATTGCACAAGCCTGTAGGGCGAGTGCAATTTGTGGTCTTTGAAATAATTATGAGCGTTTGTTTACAATAAATTGCATTTGAAATTATGTTATTGAGTAAATTTTTTTAAAGACAACAAAATGGGTGAGTGCAATTTGTAGTCTGTAAGATTTACAAGTGCTCATTTATACCAAATTGCGCTTGAAATCAACTCATTACCTATTAATAGTTTACATGAAAAAAGGATCACAGAAAGTCAAGACCGCATAAATGTTAAAAATGTCAACCAAAATGTTTGACAGATGTGGTCCCAAATTGATAGACCCAGTTGAGGTCCATGGTAGGGATCCACATCCATCAGCTCTTCTACCTTATCATCCTCCATAGGCTTGTGTAATTGCACAGAAATTTTGTCCAACGCTGCACAAGCACCCACAATCATGCAAACCTTTTCAGGTGCCATTATACCTTTTGCATGCATCACACAAATTCGCCTTTTCTATTGGTCAAATGTGAGCTCAATCACCACTCAAACCAATCAATCAACACTCCGCCTTTTTTTTTTAACAATTAGAATACTTTAACAGTATATTTAAGGAGTGTCTCAAGAGACATGCCCCTCTTTAAAGAGTGCAAAATACAGTCACTACAACAGCCGCAGAATAAATTCAGGAAGGAAGCCCTCCAGACTGACAAACAAGTTGAAGGCAGGTATTCGTCGGGCTCACGAGACCTTCACAAGGCAGGCGTTATCCTCTTATAACCCAAAGGAGGAGTGGCGTATCATCCACCACATACTGAAACCTAACCAGCAACCCTTACAGCAGGATCCTGATACGTTAAACTCATTCTTTGCTTGTACTGCCGAGAGAACTTTACCTGTTAGTAGTGACTTACCTTCCTGTCTTGAAGAACTGATAGAATCTCTACGTGATGATAGCCCTGCTAATTTCAAACTCTGAGAAGTGCTCCACGGCAAGGTCCTGTGTATACTGAAATTGTTAACATCTGATACATCTACTTGCCCCAGCGGTATCCCTGTCAAATCCATTAAAATGGTGGCTGAATCCATTGCTGACCCCCTCACAACTATTATCAACAACTGTATCAGGAAGTACAATTTTCCTGAGGCATGAAAAAGTTCAAGGATCAGTCCAATTGAAGTCTGAGGAACACTTTCATCCCGTTTCAATTATCCCCACACCATCAAAACTCTTTGAGAAACTTGTTGTGCTTCAGATGACCATTTTGTAAAATATAACTTATAACTAAGTTATCAATGCTTGGTTTCTCTAAGCCATATCTGCGCTGGTTGAATAGCTATTTGAGTGACCAGTCATTTTGTACAGATCAATGATTGTATATCTGAATCAGTGAAAGTACGGTTTGGCATGCCACAAGGGTCGATCCTTGGCCCAATGTTATTTAACTGCTATGTTTCTGATCTGCAAGATCATCTCCCTTCCTCAATTGGTTCATTTCAATACGCTGCTGATACTACAATATACTCCAGCTGTCCAGCTCCTGAGCTACAAAGATGTGCACAAGAACTAAACTCCACACTAAACACTGTAAGATCCTGATCTAATGACTCCCATCTTGCACTTACCGTAGTTATTCGGTTATAAGGCGCACTCGGTTATAAGACGCACCCCAAACTTAGCAATTTAATTGAGTTGAGTTCTCAAACTGAAAATTACGTGAAAATACTCGGTTATAAGACGCACCGAAAAGTTGAGAGTTAACAAAAGGATGTGATGAATCTGACAACAATTATCCTTACACAATTGGCATGCGAACTGAATATCAACACGCCACCAAGGATGCAGATTTCAGTGCACAAGAAAGGCTGGATGGACGAAGAAGGTATTTTTTTTCCTCCACAGGAAAAAATACCAAAAATCCAACCTCTTTTTTACTTGGTTTTTCCCTGGATTCATCAATATCCATGTTCAGATGAAAGCCAAGTTTGGATTGAACCTGGCTTTTTCTTGGATTATTTTGTTCAGTATCGAAAATCAGTGATTTTTCCTGCTCTGGATATTAAAAAAACAGGCTTCAACCTGGATTTTTAGAAAACCAAGAGGCTGCACTCTGTTTTATTTATTATCCAGGTTTGGTAAATCAGTCTGGATTACTAAATATCCTGATTGACAAACACCAAATCTGGATAATTTACTTGCCAAAACTGGTTTTTTCCTGAACCCAAACCTGGATAAGAGTAAAAACAACAGTGGAATTTAACAATCCATTTTCTTTGTTATCCAGGTTTGGTAAGGTTACTAAATATTACTATTAATAGATTACTAAATATCCTGATTCACAAATGCCAAATCTGGATAATTTACTTGCCAATTATGTTTTTTCCCAAATCCAAACCTGGATAAAAGCAAAACCAACAGTGGAATTTAACAATCCTTTTTCTTTGTTATCCAGGTTTGGTTAATCAGTTTGGATTACTAAATATCCTGATTTACAAACACCAAATCTGGATAATTTACTTGTCAGTTATGTTTTTTCCCAAATCCAAACCTGGATAAGAGTAAAAACAACAGTGGACTTTCACAATCCTTTTCTTTGTTATCCAGGATCGGTAAATCAGTCTGGATTACTAAATATCCTAATTTACAAACACCAATTCTGGATAATTTACTTGCCATGCAGATGGCTTTTTTCCAAACCCAAACCTGGATAATAAGCAAAATCAAGAAATAATGTAACAAACCTTCATTATCCAGATTTGGTAAATTACTCTGGGTTTTTAGAGAATTACATGTATACCAGTTAGAGAATTACATGTATACCAGTTAACCTAAATCTGAATGTGTTTGCCACTCCTAATTAATCCGAAGTTCTGTTCCACCTTCTTGAAGAATATCCAATAATTAATGGAAACAATAAAGATTACTGAGTGTATAAAATAGATACACCCCACTATAAAATTAAGGTGTGCTGAACAGTGTTTAGGCATCTTTCCAAGCAGTGCAAACCCATTCTCCATCAACAATGGACACAATGCTGTTGAAATGGATTGTCTCCTTCCTTTGTGCTACACTGACTGCATTGGAGGCTTCCAAATTCCTCTCAAATTCTAAGTGGGATATTTGGGTTCGGTAATTCACAGGTTTTCCATTGCAGGAACTGCAGCAACAGTGAACATGAACTGTTTTCTTGGCAGAACAAAAGCAGAGAGAAGATGGCTGTCTCTTTCCTCCCTCCACCATGTTTGCAGCTTGAATTACAAGCCATACAGTGGTGTCATTCATTAATGACACCTCAGGTGTGTTTACAAGAAGTAACATTTGTTTTGAACCAATCAGAGCGAATCACGGCACGCCAAAAATAGCGGGAAATATTACTGTTTGTGCAATATGTCATGGCGGCTGTTCAGGCGAAGATGTGTCGTTCTTCTCTAAAGGCAATGGTTTCGTCCCCAGTTTGTGATGAAGCACATTATCGGTAGATGAGAGCGAGAATAGTCCACCTCAATCTCAAGTGACGCCAGTGATGCTAAAAAGAACTACGAGCACGGGTTTTACTCCGAGCGTGGTGGCCGTGGATCAAAGAGAAGATGTCGAAGATCCGAGAGGTAAGTTCCCGCCAAAACAGTTTTGCTTTCTGACAAATCAACTTCTTCTGCCCGGTTCTTAATTTCTTTTGTTCTTGCTTTTTTTTCAGACTGGGATGTTCAGCGTGTCAAGGTCTAGGCAAAAGCGCTATTTAATGATGAAGGCATAGGTAGAAAATTCGAGGAAGAAGAAATCGAGGGGCGTACGCTGCAGTCTGAACGCATCTTGTCCGATGCATCGATGGACAACCTTGGATTATCAACAATTGGAAAGAAGGAAAAATTTGCCACTGCCATCCAGGATCTTTTCGGTAAATTTATAGAAGTCACAATAATGATAATACAGTCAGTTTTTATTTTTGAGGTTTCTTCAAGTTCTGAATAGACCCTTTCACGGTTTCTGGCGCCATCTTTGTTGTGGGCAAAATTTACAGCCAAAGTATGGGAAAAGTTAGGAGTTCGAAGCTCAATAATTTAAAGAAAATTAACACTCTGCAATTTCTATGAATAACAAGGTAAACGTACCTAGCAAAAGATTTTATTGGGTTAAATGTGAAGGACACATATATGCTGGGAAGCGAGAAATCGCATTTCTAGTTTTTCATACAAATGCTCCTAAACTTCTTCGCGCTAACGGCGGCTCAGTTTTCAGACAAATGTATGTAAAAACAAAATCCTTACGTTTTTCCAGCGAGTTTACATTCCTCAAATTTGGTCAGTAAACTCTTTTACCTGGTATCTTGAGTTTGTAATTCAAAAATATTTCGGAATTAGAATTTTCCGTGAGTTATTAGACATTAGATTGCTCACTTTTCCCATACACTTACTGTAAATTTTGCTGTGTTTGCCCCCAAACAAGATGGCATCAGAAACCGTGGAAGGGTCTATTTTGGTTATCTGCAAAATAAGGTGACATTTGCAAATATTTTGTGCATATATTGTGTTCCCATAATACCAAACTGGTTTTATTAGTGCATAATCTAGAGGTGCTTCCAAAAACTACAGCAAAAATACTGAGATACACCAAAATGGTTGCTTCTTCTTGCTGATATGCATGCACTACTTGAGACTGGAGACCAACTTACTTTGAGTGAGATTGTACCGTTACATTTAGTTAACCTTCCAGTGAGTTTAAAACAAAAACTGAACGGTCTCATGCTGTAATTAAATACACAAATGCATAGGTTTTAAAGGCGAGTATAAATTACAAACCTGTACCTTTTCTGCAGGGCAGAAAAGACCTTGTTTCCTAGTGTAATGAGAATAACATGACAGTTGGGAATTTTTCTACAGGCAGTGTTGTTAATCACGAGTGAAAAAAACCCAAGCTAGTGTGTACAGAAAGGTTTAAAGATATCAACAGAATTCTTACAAACAAGGAAAAGGACACATTGACCTCTTTAGACCGCAGTGTCTACAATACGAAGTAAGTTGGATTAAAACATATTGATGCCCCAGTTGTGTTGTGATTTTCCTTAGGTGACCTACAAACTATTGATTCTCTTTGCTATTAACACATCCATGGAAATGCTGAAAAATGGTTTCATTTGCTAGAGTTTATTCTTATTCCTTTTTATAGGTGTTATGCAGAAAGAAAGAAAAAAACAGTTCAGTTGTGATAGAATTCTGGATGCCCTCATAATCTCATTTTGCATTCTTAGGAAGAAGAAAATCATTGCTTTTGCTAGGACTGTCTGGCCTGATGATCAACCCACCCCTTGGTTTAGAAACAGTGCAGAAAATTCAAAGAAGCTCCAAGAGATAACGAAGCAGTTGGCTGAAGATGAATCTTACACATTCCCCAGAGCAGGCTTAGGAATAAAAGCCATTGATGAAATTATTAGAAAGTACATGCAAGAGAGAAGGCGGAAAGAAAATGACCCATTAAGTTCACAGAGCGATCAGGACTCAAGCGAAAGTAGCAGTAAAGGTAGTCCTTCCATACTATCAGCATGGCAAGATAAAGTACAAAGCTATGAAGCCAATTTTATTGATGGTAAGTCATTGCTGTTCTCTTTTTTTCTGTTGTCAGGGGATTGGTTTTCTTTTGCTAGTATCCAGTTCATTCACAGTTCATATTATTTTCCCATGCACTATTACAAAACCAGTGCTTGACAAAATGACCAGATGACTGTTGCACAACATTAAAGCAAGGGAATTATGAAACCTTTCTTACAAGGATGAATTTCTCCCAGTTTTCCAGTTACATATATATACAGTATGCACTTCAGTGGTATAAATTTTTAGTATGGTCCATATGTTGTGTCCTTTTTTCATGTTTCCTGAAACTGACACGAGTGTAACTCTGGATCGAGGGCTCATGGAAATCTGTAAACATCATAAGCTCATGCGCAAATGAGTAGTAACCTTTGATGCATGCATGATTTTGTAAACATAAGGGTACTCAGTGAATGGGCGTCTTGAGTTTTAAATGTTTTGTTCCGAAATATGCCTGGGAAATGCTTGTTTAGTGACCGATGGTTGGAAAACTCTTCCTATAAATTGTGGCTGGAACGTGACGCGGACAAGTTTAAAGCAAAATGTAGAGTTTGTATGAAAGCGTTTGATGTATCAAATATGGGAGAATCGGCATTGAAAAGCCACGAAAAGGGGAAAGAAGCATATTCATCTTATCGAAAAGCAACAAAGAAATACAACAGGTGACATAAGAAACCTTTTCTCGAACAGCTCTTTCGCTGCCCCTCGAACAGCCACTGAAAGTAACAACTCTACTTTGACTGTATCAAGTAGTGCCGCTAGTACAACAGCAGGTATGTCCGG